TTTATAAACCAAGTAGGTTCGTGTCACTTCTCCTATCATCTTTCTTGAATGGGGCTGAACTTGTGCCGCCTGTCTATCTTGAGAAGGAGATTCTGCAAATATATTATGGGTATTGTATTAATTTCAGCGATCCTACTGTATATATATATATTAAGGATTTTGTTTTGTCCTACCTTAGTATCGTCCTGTGTTTATTCGTGGCTTGCTGTGTTGTTTTCACTGTTCTAGAGTGTGCTGTGTCGCGTAATTTATACTTCCTGTGTCTGTGACGTTAATGTGGGCATGTTCTGATGTTGTATTATGAGGTTGAACATGTTACATTGGCTATTATTTTCTTTTGTGTGTTTTTGTTCTTCTATCAATTTATTGAACTTATTAAAGCGATATATATGGAAGTCCTCTTTTATATTCATGATGCCTCCTTTTTTGTTTTTTTTTTTCAATCATTTCCATGATTACTGTCATCGGCCCATACTGATGGTGTTTATTTAGTATGTGTGGGCAAATGCTGATTCGTCTTTGTTCAGTCTTATGTTTCTTATGTGTTCTTTGTATCTTGTTGTTAGATTTCTACCAGTTTGGCCGATGTATATTTTTCGGCAACTTTGGCATGTTATTTTGTATATCCCACTTTGTTCGTAGGGGTTTATTTCTCATTTTTCATTTATTAGTTTACCTATTGTGTGGGTTGTTTTGAAGGCTATCTTTATGTTAGTGTTTTTGAATAGTTTTGTGATTTTTCGTATGTAGTTTCCTGTGTAAGTATAAGTGACCCATTTTTGTTCTTTTTCATCTTTATTATCCTGGTTACTTATCTTTTGTTTAAGTTTGTTATATAGATGTGTGATGTCTTCCTTTCTATAGTCATTATTTAGTGCTATATTAATAATAGTATTTAATTCTTTGTTTTTACCATTTTCCTCATTTACCTGGACTTAAAACATATTTAATACACATGGACAAATAGAAATGGAAATATACAGAAAACCCACAAAAACAGACATAACAATAAATAATAAATCATTCCACCCTAAAGAACAAAAACTAGCAGCATATAAAAATTGGATACACAGACTTCTTACACTACCCCTTGAGGAAAATATATATACAGCAGGGTCGCTGAAATTAATACAATACCCATAATATATTTGCAGAATCTCCTTCTCAAGATAGACAGGCGGCACAAGTTCAGCCCCCTTCAAGAAAGAAGATAGGAGAAGTGACACGAACCTACTTGGTTTATAAATTTTAACTTAAACAACAAAGTTTAAAAACTTTAATACCAGGAAAGCTGTTGTGATTGTGAAAAAACTGGGTTTTGTGTATATCCTGTATTCCAACATTGTGTGTGTATGTAATTTAGCATTCAGAACACCTATTGTGATAGTAGTTTCCAAATAAGTATTGATGTTCCCTCTGAAGATGATCCGTAAGGATCGAAACATGTAAGGGCGCTAAGTTTTCAAGTAGTAAAACTTAAATAGTCACACCGGACACAGATGTTTTGTCTTTATAAACAGGACAGTGTTTAGATAAAGACAAGACAATGGATAGTGTCCAAAAACATAATATTTGTATATAAAGTGTTGTTGTGTGGCACTGACAGTACACCTCCCAATAACAGTAAGTATAATCATTTGGACCGAGGTCTTCTGGATTGTGACACTGTGTAGTCTTGTAGGTGGATACCAGCTTTTGGAAGAACACATCTCCATCTTCAGGGCTGAGGCGAACATGGCAAGGAAGCAGTGAGGTTCTGAAGGAAGACTGTAGATATCCATGGGAGGGGGGAGACAGGTGACAGAGCCCAGCTTGCGCCAACAGGAATGGCGAGAAACCTGCATCCTGTCCATATATCCCAACTGCTTCCTCACCTGCTCACTTTGATTCTGAAGATGGAGGCAGCATGTTCCTTCGGTACAATGCATTGTCACAGCCAAGAATTCCATAATCTGAAGAATCCCTGTCATGAAATCATAAACAACAATCTGGCTGTACTGGAAGTATTGAACCCATATGGAATGCCATGGCAATGTAAGGCCTGAATTTTGTGAATGATTACTAACATTCAATGCATTCTCATGGACTGTATAGTATAATCCAATTTCCTACTAGGTTCCAAAAAAATTCTTATTCTACAATTGATAATATTTTTATTAATACATACAAGTTTACAAATTTTACTGTATATCCCATCATAAATGGTCTCTCTGATCATGAAGCCCAGAACCTAATAATACATAATATATTTAAACAAAAACATAAAAAAGTTACTTCTATATACGGGAAATAAATGAGGTTTCAATTGCCAATTTTAATAACAAATTAAGTTATAACTCATGGGAAGATGTAATTAATGAAAAAGATATAAATACCACCTTTAACATTTTCCTGAATGTATACTTAACAATATTTCATTCGTTTCCCCCTTAAAAAGTTCATACCCATTCTGCCAGTAAATCCTGGCTAACACCTGGAATCAGGATTTCATGTATAAAAAAAAAATGCTCTATTTAGCTCAAAGAAATTGTGATGATATAAACTTAAAGTTTTATAAGAAATACTGTAAAATTTTATGAGGGTCGTACTGAAAGTCATGAGCAACAATTTTTTGTAAAGTAACCTGCTTTATTATTGACAAACCAAATACACCACCTCAATCTACAGACCTTTCTTTATTTTTCCACATAATCACCACTTCTTTGTACACATTTCTCCCAGTGTTCTGGAGTTTGAAAATTCCCCTTCTGTAAAATTCCGTTCCAGCCATCCGAAGACACTGACACGCTGCTTTCTGAATTGCCTCCCTTGTCTCAAAACGTTGTCCACGCAGCTGCTCCTCCACAAATCTGAAAAGATAGTAGTCGGAGGATGTCAGATGAGGGCTATAGGACAAGTGTGGAAGAACTTCCCACCCCATCTTTGCAATTGCTTCCAATGTGAGGCGACCTGCGTGGGGGCGAACATTGTCATGCAGGATGAAGATGTTTTGTCCCGGACGTTTATCGCGCAATGCACGATGGAGCTTGTGCAGCA